CATTCTATGATTCTATGATACAATTCCTTCACCACATGTATCCAGAGTCTTCTTGAATTCCTTTTAAGTCAAATCACAATTTAAACCTAAGTAGTTTCTGATCTGATTTTCATTATAAAGTTAGCTCCGCAAACATCTTCAGAGAGACCAGAAGTAACACGTAACACATACATTTCCATCCTGTTCAGTCAACCGTGTGCACTGCTACCTCAGTGGTAGCCGTTTCCACTGTACAACGGCGCTATTTCACAGTGGGTCAGCTACCAAGGGTACAGCGACATTAACTAGATTGGAGAAAGGATCCACTCTCGTTTCAGGGAAACTTCAGTTGCCAAGCAAAGGACTTTTTGAAGAGCTTTTGTACAACAGATGCTAAGAGGCACCCCATCACCCCAGTCACGACGGCCTTGCTTACCTTCAGAAGCCTGACTGTCGCCCTTCAAGCGAAGGCTGCTGTCGCCACAGTCCATAGCTCTCCGTAAAGACAGGCTGCCTGCTGCTCCAGGGCGGACGGGTTTGGGTGAATTACTTTTCTTTCCGCCAGCTGCAAAAGTATTAAGATGTGACAAGTGTTCAGTCAAATGCTGCAGCATTCTGTCTTTGTTCTACGTGAAATTAGGCTCCATATTAGTCTCATTAACTCCTAATCCTGCAGAAAACTCCTTCCACACCCTTCCTGTCACAGAGGTGGGCTAGAGAGGGAAGCTTAGCTAACGATAGATGTGGCCAAGGCTACACAAGTAATGTTCACTTGCTTTACACTAAGACATCCTTCAGAGAGTCATCACCTTGATTCCTTCCTCCATCATGAAAGAATAAAGGACAAGGATAGCCAAAACCATCCCCTTCAGCTCTTAAATTCAAAGTGAAATGTGAAAGGACCTCAAAAGCATGAGTGAAAGGCAGGTTACGGGACTCATGCTGTTTACCTCTTCCCAAATTAACCATTCCCTGTGCACATGTCAGTGTGGATCCTGCTATGGAAACTCTGCTAGAAGAAGGGAGGAGTGGTAACTGGAACAGTAAAACACCAAGCTCTGCTCTCACCACACCCATAAAGGCTTCAAGGCAAGGCAGAAGATCACCCCTGTTTTACAGAGCGCTGCATGCCTGTTCCTCTCGTTCCGATGCAGCATGAAGCAGCTCTCCAGTGCCTTAGGAACCTTTGAGGGATGAGGCATTTGCCAAGGAAAGAGAGGGGATTGAAAGCCACACAACACGTGAAAGCTAGCACTTCCAATGAAGCAGCTTGATCCTTCCAGGGCTCATCAACAGCACAATTCAGGGCTCCAAACTTCATCACAACTTTCTCTTAATTCACACCATCAGAGAAGAAATTCTCTGCTCTGTGGGAGTGGTGAAATGCAAAACAGACCTTTGCTGGAGCTGCAGAAGCCCCGTTTTGCAGATCAGTATTCAAAGAGGTGGAGAACAGAAGTATCTTACAAACATGAGTGGACTAAAGAACCAGTAATGCATTTCTTACTTATCCTGGCTCTAAAATGCAAGCAATAACTTGAATCAAAACCCAGAATGCTGGAAAATCATCTCTCTCAGGCAACAGGGAAGTGAGAGAGGATTAACAATCAGTGCTTTTATTCAGGATCAAGCAACAAAGCACCTGCGCAGTCCTCTCGCTGGGATTCAAAGGTTTCCACACTGGCTTACCAGTGCTGCCAGTAGGACTCAGTGACAGCACCTGAACAGAGCGATATGCAGGCACCTCTTTCAAAAGGCAAAGTCCCTCCAGAGAACCTTGGCTTACTTGAAGTTTAGCAAGATTTCAAGTTACTGAAGTATAGCAATTCTGGAATTTTACAGTTCGTTCACTGCACGAGACACCACCAAGTTCACAGAGGGGTGGGACACAGAGCAGCAGTCAACAAGCAGCGACCTGCAGCCAGGACCAGTTCAGTTCTGGATTCAACTTCAGAAGATCCCCACCAAATCAGGTGTGAGCTAAACTTTTGGTACTTTAACCAAGAAGGGCTGAATCCAGTTTCAGTAACATTTACTTCCTCAAAGGCAGTGGAGGTTTTTGGATTCTTACAACTGAGCTGGAGTAACTAGAAAAGGTCTATCTCCAGATGCCTGGATATAAGCCACCGACACAACTCACATCTCTAAGAGCGGCATTTAAATCCCCCGCTTTCCTCGGCACTTACGGTTCCGTATGTAGCAACTGGTAACTGAAGACTTTGTCAGTAGTTCCATTCCTATTTCTTGCAGCTTACTGCAGCTTTCTGTTCCACAGGCAGCTAAAGCCCCCTGCTCAATGGAGAAGAAGCTGGGTTGTCCATCACACGAGCCAGCACTGCTGCCTCTCACTTCCGAGAGCTGGTTTTTCACATCAGACATTTTGCTGCGAACTTCAGCCATCTGAGTTTTAAGCCTTTTCAGCATCTTCAAGTCAGGTGGCACACGCCACATGGCCTGGTGCCTCCGCTGATCTCGCTCTTTCAGAGAATAGGATGATGCTTTTAGCAAAGGAAAAGTTAAAGAACACAACAGGTAAGTAAATCTGTTCTCAAACAATAACAAGCATCAATTTTTAACAGCTGTAAGAATTCTACCTTTTGCCCTGCTATCAAAATGAGGGACTGAGATGTTCTGTGCTGGTACAGCACGGTAGTATTTAGGTTGCAGGCACTGCACAGCTGCTGGGACAGTAGACTGTCACTCTGCCTGCCATGGAAGAAGGCCCCAGAACTCGCCCGCTGGAAGAAGCAAGGCTCCCAGTACTGCTGCATGAATTCTGATGACAACTGAGCTACTACTCTACACTGCCAGGCAAGCTGGACCTCACAAGCCTGGCTGCCTGTTCATGCCATGTTTGTTACATGGTTTTATAAAACTGGGAGGTGGCGTAGAAGATTCTCATACCACCAACAGGTCATGTTAACATAGAATCACAGAATGGTTTGGGTTGAAGGGACCTTAAAGACCATGCAGTTCCAACCCCCCTGCCATGGGCAGGGACACCTTCCACTAGACCAGGTTGCTCCAAGCCTCATCCAGCCTGGCCTTGGACACTTCCAGGGATGGAGCATCCACAGCTTCTCTGGGCAACCTGTCCCAGTGCCTCCCCACCCTCTCCGGGAAGAATTTCTTCCTGATGTCCAAACTAAAGCCCCCCACTTTCAATTTAAACCCATTACCCCTTGTCCTGTCACTACAGGCCCCATATGGAGGCATGTACATATAGAACTCAAACCCAAAACTGGGGAAGGAATTCCCTTAGGTACCCAACACCAGAAGATCAGGTCAAGGAGCCAGTACCTGAGTAAGCCTACATGCTGCTCAGACAGAATTAGATCAACTTTGAAGTCTATTTGAAGCATTAGAAATTCTGCAAGTGCTTCACTGAAAATTCAGCTGTTCAGAACTGTAAAGCCAAGTGGCTCTTGGAAACCTTCACCTTAGGAGGTGAAGTTTGGCAAACTCCAAACAGAACAGCAGCTTTCTCTTAGTTGACTGACTTGAATAAGCTCTGGGAACAGTCAGTCCTTAAGGCAACCTCAGCAGAACATGTAATTTCAGCTGTGTAGCCCGTAGCTAAAGACAACCAGGAAGTCACTCAACACAACAGGAGAGCTTAATCTTGCTGGAGTAGTACAGCAACGTGCAAAGCCCCCTCAAGTTCCTTCTGTCTGGGCCTTCTTCCAGGCAAAGAGCTGAGGCTTACCGTTCCTGTGCTGCCTCCCCTTTCCCTGCTTATTGGAGTGACTTCCAAAAAAGCATTACATTCAGCTGAAAATCCATCTGTTTATGTGGCTACATTTAAAAAGGTAAACATGAAGGAACAAACAGCTTGGGCTAGGTCTTTGATTCAGCAACACCGGTGTCACTGCTCAGCAAAAGCAAGCATTTATTTGTAGCAAATGGACCGTGTTAAGTCACCAACTGGCTGTTTCAGAATGACCTGTACTAAGAAGCTGCGGTGATGGGCCAGCTAGCTCCAAGTAAGTGTTAATCATGATAAACACGTTACCGATGTTTGATTTCATGTTAACTTCTTCACTAGCAAAACAAGCGAGCAACCAGCAGCAACAGCCACGGGGGCCAGAACTGCCAGCCGTCTTGCTTTTGCTGAGCTCAAAGCTGATTGCTGTTGTTGGTTGGAAGGTCCTAACTGAACCACAACTCTAACTCATCGATTATTCAGATACCCCACTGCTACTTCTTCCTCTTGACATTTTGATCCATTTTTCTTCCACAAGCACTTACATGTGGGTTTTTTTCCAGTTTTACGCACCTTGTTCTAGTTCTGATTTAAATGCCTTTTTCATACAAAGTAAATTCCAGGACCTATTTTCTCATTCCTATGCGCTGTGCTCCGAGCACTCTCCGCCATTCAGGGCACACATTGTGTGAAGCCAGAGGTGTAACTGCTTCCCCGGCAGACAGCTGTTGTGTGGTGTTCTGCCTTTCAGTGCTAACCCCTTCCAGAAAATGCCTTTCCTTCCTCTCCCAGCTGTTATGTAGTGAAAGAAACTGCAGGAACTCTTGCACTAGTGTTACCACACCAAACAGCCAGCCAGTTCAGCCCCCCTCAGGGGAGTGGGGAGACCCTCCCTGATAGCCGCTCAAAGCAGAAGTGGGTTTCTCACACTGAGGCCAGCCATGAAGACAAAGAATGTGTTAGAGCAGGCAGTAAGATGCAGCCCACTGACGAGCACAGATGGGACACGGACATTCAGTTATTGACAAGAAGGACTGCCTGTCACTCTCTCTTCCCACTCCCCTCCTCAAATCTGCTTCTAACTCAGACTGCGTTCTCAATTCATCAGTATGGGATGTAGAGTTACCTCTGTTCTGCAGAAGAGAGGCAGTTGGACGTGGCTGAAGGCCCCAGAGGTTTTCCATGCCATTTCTGTCTTTCAGATCCAGCAAGTGGATTAAAATTAAGGGATCTATGTCTAGTAAACTGCTACTGGCTGTTGACCCGAGGGCACTTCCTCCACGCCTTGAAGGTCTTCCTCTGGCGCTGGTGTAGCTGTGGCTGGTACCTAGGGAAGGGTCAGAGGGAAAGGGTGTGCATATACATGACACGGGTGATGCAGTACTCCCACTGAAAACGGAGTTCTACAAGCAGATCAGGAATGGAAACATTCTAAGAAACTTAACAAGACATCAGCATTATTTCATGGATTAATTTAAAAGTTTAAGCCAAAAAGCACCTCAAGGATAAAAAGGAAAAAGAAGAGGATTTCACTTTATATATTTTATCTAAGTCTCTTAGTAAATGTATTGGTTAAAAAAAGAGCGCTAATTCTGAAGAAATGCACATACACTTTCTAGGTTCCCCCCACCCATCAGATTACACGGGGATCTTCAGCTGAGTTCTGCTGCGCTACAACATCCCCATTACAGGCAAAAGGTGAAGGGAGTCTTTAGAGAAAATAGGTAGATGTGCGAGATAAAAACTGCAGAGTTTAGTAGAACTCCCTTCCAGCATAGAGAGGTGACACGACCAACATTCAGACCAGGACAGAGCGCGAGCAGGTGAACACAAGTAGCTCAGGTGAAGAGATTGTGTCAGCTTTACAAATGCTGTTAAAAATTACTTTTCAAAAGCTCCTAAAAAAATGCTGTTTCCACAGCCACTGTGCTGCTAGCCCAAAGGCTGTCCTTTCAGAAGGGAACAGACATGTCCCTCAGCTTCCCACCTCACACAGAAATACCAAGGACCCTTGAAACAGCAGCTAAAGCAGGACGGTTAAGGAATTCCATCTTCCAAGGACCAGCAGAATTCCACATGAGCATAAACACCACTTCCAGCAAATGCCAATTCTGGTATCTTGGCCATAAATAAATATACTTATATTCTGTCTATATATTTCTTTCACGATCTTATTAAGCAATGGCTAATTTGGGCTATAATCACCTCTAGGCAGCAAGAGAACTTGGAGTACCTTTTCATTATTGCATTTAAGATATATTTGTTTGACTTGTAAGGATTCTTTACTTCATTCTCTCCACATACTTCAGTTTTTACAGTGCACTAAAACCATAGTGTGTGCGTCACGATTCAGAGGCCACCCAAACATGAGGGAAATGTCTTGTTCATCTGTATTAGATCGGAACAGAAGGGGTTTTGCAAGAGGCAGAAAAGTCTCCCTCCAAACTTAGGTATCATTTAAAAACAAGCATATTCAGACGATTCCCCCTTTTTTTACTGAATCAATGAAATCTTTCCGCTACACTGCAATAATCAGTACAAACCATGTGATGCAGCATTTCCAAAAATAGAAATGCCTGCAGAACATGCAGCTTGGCGTTGCTTCCAAGAACAGGAGAAGGAATCCAGCAGCATTTTGCATATATGGGAATTCTGAAGCCTGTTTTCATACCTGATGCTCCAGGAGTAGCAGCAGCTGCTGCATCCTCCATGAGATCTCCTTCTTCCAGCTCCATATTACTGCTATATTCCACGTCATTTTCTCCAGACCTTAGGAGATGATTGGGGTGGAAAGAGGAGAATACAGTTAATAGGTTCTGTCAGCTCTTGTTAAATGTTATGGCACACACCTTGAAAACAACATGAAGCACTATAAATAGGATTTTCTGCATTCCAAACTACACAAACCCAAAGTGTGTTAATTAAAAGACTGACTCACTAACCCAGAGTCCAGAAGTGCCATACGTATCCAGACTGGTAAGATCTGATCCTGCAAACTTCTATATTTGTATGTGTTACAACAGTCTCATGTTTTAATGAAGATTTGAGGACTTGACATCGTCTCAGCTAAAAACTTTAAATACTCTAGTTTAAGTAACTCTCCTTATTATCCCTCTCCCACTACTACAACCCTTCTTAATACCAAACCTCTCTTTAGTCACAGTGTAGAAACAGATTTCTTAATAGTGTTTTGGGAAAGAGCCTTCACAGACTATCACTTGTCAAAGGCAGAACACAACACTAATGTAAATTAAGAGATCAGAAAGAAGAACTAGCTGGCTGGAAATGCAATGTTTAGCATTAAGCAGAACAGTTCAGGTTGTTTCCAGTTCAGGAAACACCCCTCACATGGCACAGAAAACCACCCCCTCCATAACTGTGATACAGCACATGAATGAGGATGATCACCCTGGGAGACAAGGTGATGATCTGAAAGGTATTTTAAGTCACTTACATAGTTTCTTCATCAATATCATTTTCTTCGGTGTTACTAGTTGCTGTGGAACTAGCTGAAGAGCTGCTACCATCAAGATGGTTCACCTCATCTTCTCCAGCAAGATCTATATCCAGGTCACCATCGGAGAGATCGTGCTATGGGGAAAAAAAAAGAACAAGTCTTCATAAAAAGAAATGTTTCAGCTGCACTTTGATGCATTCCCCAAAAGCTATAAACAGAAACTCTCTCTCCCCAGGGTGTCACACTATCATACAGGAGTTAGAAGGGTCTCAAAGCACATTAAAAGCTGGTAACAGACAGAGAAGTTGGATTTTTCAGCTCCAACCTGGAAACTTTTTTTGTGATGGGATCTATTAGCTTTGTTCTGGAACACCTCTCATGTCATCTCTCGCTGCCAGCTCTCAAGCGTGTTATCTTCTGTTCCCACAAGAAGATAATAAATCTAACTTACAACTCAGAAGTTCACCTATGGTTTCCACTGCTATCCTATCACAAAAAGCTACACATAAACAGAGAGGCAGGAAAAAGACAATTCCTACATTAAAGTCTTCATGCTGGATTTTCTCTTCCTCGCTATCTCGCACTAATCCTGGAGCGGCAACATTCTCCAGCAGTACTTCGGTGCTCTGTCCAGATTTCTTTGATCTTGTTTCTGGGCCATCATCATTCTGGGGACTAAGATGAGTGTCTGGGGGTGAAACGCCTCGCGATTTCTGAGTCCGTGAAAGTTCAATCGCAAGTCTCTTAAATGTCAGGACACACACAGAAGACAACGATGGAGCAGCATCATCACCAAATCACATTTTTTGCTGACTTGCATATATGCTATTTTAATAATGCAAATATCAAACTACCAACAGCAACCCAAGTCAACACAATCAAACATGAACTTTGTAACTTAAAATGGGCCACTTCTGCTCAGTAAAAGCTGATTTTACATTAATCTACATCTCACTTACTTCTTTCAGGTTATTTATTTGTTGGATATAACTTGTCTGAGCAGCTTCCAACTGAGCAATGTACCAGTGTTGATCTCTGCACTTCTGGAAGAAGGTTGGAGAACGCACTTGGAACCTTCAAAGCAACATTTGAAACAAGTTTTGGGTTTGTTTTTTTTTTTTTACCCCCCAAATCTGAAGAGTCCTGCATAAGAACATCATACATCCTGGAATCTAGTGATGAAACAAACTGAACAGCCAGCATGTCCTTGCATAGGTGGTATCCTGAAGGCACTGATGGGCCAGAGTCAGTATTTTGTAGGAGGCAGTTACCCTTACAAAGCAACACTAACAAAGTGAACACACTACACAAAGACAAGAGGAAGAATAGAACTGCAGGGGGAACATCTGAAGTAGACTGATAAAGCTTCTATATTTTGACATAACACTAGAATTTCCATTGACAGCATTAGTTCTCTTACATTACAGACTTCCCAAAGCTCTCCTCTGCTCACTACACCTGTTTCTAAAAAGGGGAGGAAAACATCCTTTTCGTTTAATTCAGTTAGCTTCAGCTCTCCAACCCAGGCTTATTAATGTCAAGTGTAGCTTCTTTGAGAAGTAGCTATACTTAGTTTCCACAGCTCCCTTCAGCACATTTTCTTCTTTAAAGCTTATGACAGTGAAATCCATTTATGACAAAACATGTCACAATTATTTTAAATTCAGCTACTTAATTATTTCCTATGTCGGCAGTAGGTGTGATGCTTTGTGAAATGATAGCGGAAAGGAGCCCCACTAAGTTGTCCTCCTTACCTTAGGATTACAGTGTCATTTTGCCTGTTTAAATAGCCTTCGTTGGCTAGCAAGTCCAAACGGAAGAACCTGTTGTAACCCCAGCATTCTCCAACTTCAAAATCAGAGGCAAACTCTCGAATGATGTTTTTACTGGGATCGTTGGTGGACTGGTGAACCATTTCCACACGGTACTCATACCTACGCAAGGGAAGATCACAGGTATTGATACCAGCGAGATGTTGGAATTGCTGAATGCGTCAAGTTTGACAGACCTGCACTTCCTGGGAGGCTTGTGTGTGCCCTGCGGAAGGGTGATCCGGTTTCAACTTCAACTGAACACTTACATACAACAGGACAAGGGGGATCAAAGTAGTAAGAGGGAGAAGAGTGGTAAAGCAACTCAAGGACTGAATACTAGGAGCTTGCTTATCTCGAGAAAGCCACAGAGTAGTAACTTTAAAATATCATCTTTGGGCAGGATTCAAAGCTCAATGAACAACAGAAGCCCTGCTGTTCTTTTCAAGAGGGCTCTGCACCAGGACCTAGCAACACTAGGGAATCTGACTTTGTTCTTTGCAAACCTCTCCAGATGCTTTGCCAATAGGAAAAAACCCAACCAACCCAAAAGAAAATCCCACCAAAACCAACAAACAGCTGCTCTTACAACAGGTTTACTTACTTGGATGTCTCCGGCAATCCAGCTGACAGCTCCAAGAACACAGACAGGTAGTAGCCCCGTACTACTCCATTTCCATCCTTGAAACACAATAGAGAGACTGATTACTTTTAAAAAGAAAGCAAAAACCAGAAAACAACCCCAAACCAACAAGACACCTCAGTATACCCTTGAAGTTTAGGCAACTGCTTCAATCATTACAAAATTCACAGCAGCAGTCTACTTTGTACGCTGTAGTTCTGATTTTTAGTCTTCTGTGACCTAGAACTCACACTGTGACCTGAATCAACATGGAGCTTGCACCTGGAAGCACATACGCAGTCTAGTATCGGTATCGCAGATAAAGCTCTGTTTTGAGATTCCTCATTACTCTATTAACATTTGAGGAGTTCAATTAAGTGGAAGACTAAATAGACAAACACTAGACAATGTATCAGGAAAAACATTTACTGAACATAGAAGCAGCAGTAAAAAAAGCTCATAAAATCTAGTTACCAGTTTATTACAGTCCAATTCTTCTCAAACTTTCAACATGAAAACAGCTCAGGTTAAACATTAGTTTGGAAATATTTTACATACAGCTGCATTTCAAAGCCACTTAATTTCCAAAACACCAATTTCTTTAGAAAAAACCATGCAACATGAAGAAGTTAGGTCAGTTCACTGAAAAACTTTATTAGAATCACCAGAAATCAAGAAAAAAATATGGCAACATCTCCATCACTCACCTTAATCAAGGATGAAGAATGGCTCAACTTGAGTCCTCTAGGTTGAAGAAACATTTCAACTTACCATTTACAAATAAATTTTAATGCCTCTGACAGCACACCTTACATAGTCAATCCTGACTTTACAAAAACTGACAACTTAGGCAGGAGCCACCTCTGCACTGCAAGAATCCAATTCTGTGCGTATGTGTGCTTATCGGATTACTCCAGTCCTCTGAAGATGCCACGTAAATCACTAACAAACTAAAGTTGTGCTTCACTACTAGACACATAATTCTCCAACCACAGCTGTAGGTACAGCCAGAGCTTCCTGGAAGCACTGACCAGGACAGTGGGCTGAAAAGAGATCACACTTAATCTGTTAACATTCCAACACTGACAAATATATTGACTCAGAAATCTGAATATTCAGCCCACTGAAAGGACTCGAGTACAACGCACCTTCTAACGTCAGCACTTGAGAACTGGATGCACAATAAATCAGATTCCTCTTCAACTAATACCTTGACCTTCTCCCAACTTCCCAAATCAGTATTATTCATAAACATAGATCATAGAATCACACAGATCATAGACTCATAGAACGGTTTGGGTTGGAAGGGACCTTAAAGATCATCTAGTTCCACCCCCCCTGCCATGGGCAGGGACACCTTCCACTAGACCAGGTTGCTCCAAGCCTCATCCAGCCTGGCCTTGGACACTTCCAGGGATGGGGCATCCACAACATCTCTGGGCAACCTGTCCCAGTGCCTCCCCACCCTCTCCAGGAAGAATTTTTAGTATATTTAAAGGAGATACAGTAAGTTATTCTATATCTCAGTTCTGCAAGAAACATCTGCAAAAAACACTCAGACGAAGGGTTAAAATATCTATGAAAGTTCCTATGGCATATTTGTAGGACCCTTTTTTAATTATTTTTAAATTAAGCAGATAAGCAGCATGGACATTCTCGCTATGGTTAATCTGAAGGCAGAGAGGGAGTACTCTGCAGCTGATGATCAACTCTGCAATCTTATTACACTCTTCTTATATACAACCTGAGAAGAGACTAAAAGGTATTTCCTTAAAGAGACAAATATGAATGCTGGTTAAGTGTTTTGGATAGGATAACAAGGTCAGTTGAAAATACAACTCACTGGATAAACTTTCAACCGCCAGCAAAGTCCTGACACTTGAAGAGGGGGACTGTAAACGGGATCTGCTCGCTGACGCAATGTGCTGTTGGGAAAGGAGAAAACAAATTAACTATCGGGACAAGGCACAACCCTCCATGAAACAGTAATGTACATCCACTGGCTATCGTACTCTCCAGAGCTGTCCTCCTTGCTGCACAGAGCATGGAGCAGCATGAGGCCCATGCAAGGTAAGTGCTTTCCTTGCAAAATTGCCCAATCTTTCTTTTTTTTTTTTAAGAAAAAAAGAAGTACTTTGTCTTTATCACGAAAATTATTTTTAGCTAGGGTTAATTGTTGTTCAGCCTACAAACAAAGAGATTTTTGAATCATAGACTCATGGAATCGTTTGGGTTGGAAGGGACCTTAAAGATCACCCAGTTCCAACCCCCCTGCCACACGCAGGGACACCTTCCACTAGACCAGGTTGCTCCAAGCCTCATCCAGCCTGGCCTTGGACACTTCCAGGGATGGGGCATCCACAGCTGCTCTGGGCAACCTGTCCCAGTGCCTCCCCACCCTCTCCGGGAAGAATTCCTTCCTGATATCTAATCTAAACCTCCCCACTTTCAATTTAAACCCGTTACCCCTTGTCCTATCCCTACAGGCCCTTGTAAAAAGTCCCCCCCAGTTTCCTTGTAGACCCCCCAGGCACTGGAAGGCGCTGTCAGGAGCCTCCTCTTCTCCAGGCTGAACAAGCCCAACTCTCCCAGCCTGTCCCCGTGGCAGAGGGCCTCCCCCCCTCGGAGCATCTTTGTGGCCTCCTCTGTACTTGCTCCAACCAGTCTATATCCTTCTGATGCTGAGGGCTCCACAGCTGGATGCAGCACTCCAGGTGGGGAATGAATTCCTACAGCTTAATTCATATCTGACAGTTTTTCATAGAGACTATTCTGTGTTTTAAGGAATACTACTCATACGCAGAAGCAACAGAGAAAGCTTCCCCATACTCACAGTAATTGAAGATACATGCTTACCTGAAGTTTTCCAAGACAAATGTAGTGGAGTCATAGGCTGGAACCAATTCACTGGAGAGCAGGGGGGAAAAGAGTAAATATTAGAGTGGAATAACATGGCATTAAAAATCCCAACTTTCTGAATCTTTAGAAGCACTTAAGATGGTTTAGGTCACCAGAGTCACTGAAATTCCCCAGGACTACTCTGCGTTATTTCAGCAGTTCTGAAAGTTCCATTTCTATGCCTTCTTCCCAGTACCTCTCCATGTGATATCACACAATAAAACAAATGTGTTACGAAGGGAAGAGCAACCAGAAGCATTTAAGAGGATTTTCCCTCTGGCCTGTGATAATGGCTCAGTGTGGTGAATTTTTAACACAAGACTCCTTGGTGGTTCTCGAAAGGACGAAACTCTTTCGTTGCTGAAAGCCCAACACTTAAGTGGTTTCTGTTCAGAGCAGGAGATACCTTACTGGCATTGGAAAATGAACATTCAGGCTTAAACTCTCCTCACAGAGGCATTTAATTACTCTTTTCAGAAAATGTTTCAGGGCAATAGTTTGGAGGTCGCATTTAAAAGCAGGACAAACTGATACTTGCCAGAACACAAAATGACTTGAGGTATTTTTCTAAGACAACTTCTACTTTCAATTTTTTAGAGATGCTCTTCAGCCAGCTAACCTAAACTCCGAGACTTCCTCAGAATCCAGTACTAGCAGCACTCCTTAGGAAGTGATTTTGGCTGTATATTCTGAATTAAGGTGACCTGCACATGCATCTCATGAGAGCATTGCAATTATATACTGAATGACCCAATAAGAAGAGAGAGAGGACAAATCAGTAAACTACGTGTAAAAAGGAAAAAAACAAAGTCAGCTGGAACCCAGTGTCCTGACTCCCCAGCAAGGGCTACAGACATAAAATAAGCCCTACCAGAATAGAAATGCCTACCTGCAACCTAGGTTACTACAAAGAGTAAGTTAAGCCCTTTATCATGTTCAGTGTATAAGCGTGTACCCAGATTCAGGTATACCAAGTTTAGCACAGAAACAGACAGAATCATGCTACTTCTTAGACAGCTGAGAAGTGCTACTACCCTTTGCTGTAGGTGGGAAGGGGCAAGCTCTCCAGCAACCTGTCCATCAGCTGCCTGTGATCCACTCTTCCAAACCCACGTTAAAACCCAGCACTACCCTCCTGTCCTCGTCTTACAGAAGGCTGACGTGTAAAAATACATCCACTTCCCAGACTCACTAGAACATCCTCCTCCATACAGCAGCACAGTAAAATGGGAAAGTGATCCTCTCCTCTAAGTTACTGTAACCATTTTTTAAGCAGCAAAACAAGCGTTCTTATAATGGCTTTCAAGTTCAAACTACAGCAGAAAGGAAAAGCAGTGCTTACCTTGTGAAGTCTGGGGGGACAGGAGTAGTGACAAATGAGGCCATAGGCTTCCGATGAACCTGCTGGAACATCATCAGGATCTCTGAACTTTTGGATATCAACTCACTCTTACTGCAGGATCGTAACTGTATTGGAAAAACACAAGAAAAAATAATCCGTGATTAGAATCCATAGGTTTTGACCAGTTTTGGTTTTAAACACATAAATGGCATGTTTGTCACAACTTCAGAAAGATTCCTCGCAAGGCCATGTAAAACGAAGCTTGGAGGTTGCTTTATTTTCTATTTGTTTGGGTTTTATTTCCCCTGAAACTGTCAGCTTTTAAGACTACGAGTTTGCCTATGACAGCCAACGGTCACATGTTCTAAAATTTCTGTTAGGAAATTAAAATAGATATTCTAATTCTGACTCACTCCGGAGTCTGTGCAGCCAGTTTGGGAAATCCTGAATATTTAAGACTGTGAAATCCTACAATGGAAGTCATAACAACTAATAAGTAAGTTTAACCAAAGTGAAGTAGATAGATATAAGATGCCTGATTAATACCAAGTCACGTCCATTACTGTGTTTACACAACAATAACAAAGTCAACCTGGAGAGGATGCTTAATTAGACATTGGGATCAGTTGCTCAAATACATCAAAACACAGCGATACACACTCCTGTGACATTAGATAGCTCTTCTACGCTGTAGCTATTCCTGTACTGCTGTAATGCCAAGCACTGTGCTTTTTTTTGTTCATCCAAACTTGAATAGAAGTAGTCCATATTATGTTAAACAGCAGGCCAAAACCCCACTTCAGTCGAGAGACCTTACAAAACCAGTGAAATAATAAAGATCTTTCCAAAATACGGGGTGGGGGGAAATCCAGTCTTTACATGTTCCTTGACTAGCTAGTACTGTGTTATCTAAACCTCTTTAGTAAAGGAGACAAATCTACTCTGCTTCTTATTTATACTTTAAACACTAGAAAAATGTATCTCAGACTTACATTTCAAACTTCTGGTCAGGCTTAAGCAAGACTAATACGTACATCTTTAGAAGTCACAGTTTTGCTCTTACTCCCACAGGAGGAATATGAAACTCAAAGCCTTTCTTGATGAAGACCTACATCGTGACTGTAAACAAACAGTAGAGACCTACACAGTAGCCAGATGTCTGCATCTTCTCACAACTGTTTTATTTACTAAGTTCTTCCTCCTGTTTTGGAGGGAGATGAGGTCATGTTTCAGCAGCACCAACCTGGTGTTATTTTAACGGTGTTTTGTTTCTGCAAAAGAGAAGCTGATCTGCAGAGTTGCATGTGCACTGCTATTCAGTATTTCAAAGGTCCTAAGTGACTTCTGAATGATCTACACACAGAGAGCTCTCAACAAACAAACAAAAGATATGCTGATGCATGGTATGCAGGCGCACTCATCCTCCCCATGCCATCCATTCTTCAACTCAATGATGTCATGCCTATGATGGAATGTCTAACTGAAGCGCAAGGAAAACATGATCATCGCTGAGCGGGTGATGAATCCATAAGCTAGGCCGGCTTTAAAAGCAGTGCAGAACGAAAAAGGAATAAAGGGGAAAAAAAAAAAACCACCCACAACAAGAAACCCAGAAGAACGCCACAAAACCCACACAGAGCAGTTTAGTCCCCATCCCAGTCTAAAATGTGAAATTCTGCTGAAAGATAATTGCTAGATGCAGTAATGCTCGGAGAAAGAAAACCCATTTCCTCTGACCAAGCAGAAACAGCTCGTAGCAAACACGATAAAGCTCTGCAGAACTTGTTTCATTTACAAAAGCTGAACTTGCACAGCTAGAACCAAATGCACAAAGTGATACCATGTCATCTTCTTGGGGAGACAGATGGACAGGAATAAAAGCACTAGAACCACTTCAGTTTTCCTCAAAAGCAGGAAGAGAAATAGAACGTTTTTATTTATTCTCCATTTATACCCACCTCTATTCCTCTGCAGTTGGCAGCAGCAGAACTAACAGAATCTACCCACACAGTCTAAACACTTACCTGAAACGAACACGTAACTGTGCAGTTTTATATGATATTGCTCTTAATTCCTGCACTAGGTTTTTTTAAGCAACAGAAGAGACCACCTTTCATTATTTCTAGAAAACATACTTGTTTTTAAGAAGGAATTGTGCAACCTAAGGCCACTTAAATGAAAGGATGCCCTCAAGAAACAGCTCTAGCCATCAATCACTAGTTTAAAAATAAACAGTAAGAAAGGCCAACTGAGGAGGAAATCTATGTAATGTAACATTCCAGCTCTTTTCACAATCACCTGATGTTCCACTTCCTGAAGCAGGGATTCCAGAAGTTCAGTTTCTTGAGTAAGCGATGTCTTTTGACCTGTTTAAAGAAAGGAAGACATGTTTAAAGTCAACATACTCACTGGATTTTAGGAAATTGAGCTTTTTTTTTTTTACTTGGAAGCTGCCCCAAAACCTAAGGTAAAGGATTTCTAAATATACCAAGGTTGATTGAGAAAGCATTTTAAAAGCAAGCCTACGTTTTTAATTAGAGCTGTAGTGAAGAACTCCCTTAAGGTTAAGACAGTAATGAAGCATTTTTTGTGTCCCAGAAATAGCAGGTTTGTTGTTTTGGGGTGCTTTTTTTTTGACAAAAAAGCAGGTTTGACTTCACTGAATTTGCTCTCATCCAGACAAGTCTCTCTTTTACATTAGCTGACACTTCTCTCCTGAAGTCCACCGTATCTCCTGATTTCGATGTTCACGTGTTTTCTTCATAAAAAAGAACAAATAAGTTCTAAATGTGTTTTGTGCATTCTAACTGGCACAAAGACCATGACAGGAACAAACGAAAAACTAAAGTCACATTTGCCTGTTTTCTATCATGGGGGATTTACTTTGTCTCCATCATATATTACATGCTTGAAGAGTGTTTGGCCATTGTTAGAAAAAAGGTGTTACATGGACAAAACGTTAACCTCTGCATAACAGATAGTTAAGGCATCCTACCACAGCTTTAAGACTCATCTTTTATCAGCACACATTAAACCAAATCATAGGGCTATTATATATAGGCATAGAATATGTATGAATGTACAAATCCCAGATTTAAGTTAAAGCAAACATTTTAAAGTACTGACATGAATTTCAACTTAAAAAATACGTATTAGCTAAGTTTCATGTTTTGATTCTAAGAGAAATGCACTAAGAATAAAAGCAGGCATTATCAGCACTAAGTACATTCTCCAGGCATGAACACTGCAAGTTTTCTTTGAGTGGGTGGAAGGGGGGCGATCTGTGAAGATGTCAAGTATCAGAAATACATGTTCAGCACAGCTATTTTACTGTCTTATTTTTATTGCTGACATTAGCACATAGATACAAGCTCAAGGATCTATTTGTCTGTGTACAGCCCTGATCTACCAGCAGCTCCGATTCCAGATGCTGTGATCTTCTTTTACAAACAAGGCTGCTGGTATGCATGGATCTGAACAGCTGACTGCTCACCAGACAGCTCATACCGACTTCTGAATTTTCAAAGTTACACTGACAGGATTGTATATTACAAAGATGGCAAATTACAAAGATGGACTTCTTGGCCAATACAAACTATGGTGTAAAACCACTTTAGGTGAGGGGTACTGAACATCTTCCAGTTAGATGGAAATCTTCAAGTTATTACACAGGAGTTTCTATACAGAACATAACCAGGTTACTTCCAACAACTTAGAGCTGCATCACAGCAACTACGTAATTCATTCAAATCTCTGCTATAGGTAGAAGCTCTCTGTCAGCAGTTATCTTGCTTGACCACCACAAAGTGTATAAGGAGTCATAGTCCCAGGACAAGAAAGTTTCTCCATAGATTTACACATTGTTAATATATTGCTCCTACTCATAATAGATCAGGCAAATACCTACCCATTAATGTGATAAGCTTATTCTTCAGCTGAGTGTCTAACCGGGCAATCATCATCTCCACTGCATTCCTGATTTCCCGAACTCGTTCATCCTTGGCGCTACGCACTGCCTCCACGTTCCTCTCCTGAAACAGGGTTCAGCAAAACATGTGCACAAAAAGAAAGCCCTCACACTTCTGCACATTTCACTCATTTGCACGCTGACTCTACTCTCTCAGATCCCAGAAATGCCTAGGCCTCCCTGGAGTCCCCTCCAGCTCTGTTTTTCTATGAGGAAAAGAAAAATAATCCTGGTCTTCCCAAAACTTGCATGTTAAGAATAGGAAAACAGGAATGTGTTTTCAATGTGTTTCAATGTTTGTATTACAGGCGATTCCTGCTTCCAGTTGTCAGTATCCTTTGACTCCCACTGTGTACCTACACGTGCCCTCTGCTGGGTGACCCAAGCTTAGCAATGAGTTTGCACGACACTTTCTGCAAGATTTGTCATATGGTGATTCTTCAGTATCACATTTTGTTAATACAACAGCCACTTACTCTTCTGTAACTTGAGCAGCACAGAAAAGTTACCTTCTTGGTTACAAGAACAACTTGATGAAAACTGCACCCTTCACCCTGCAAGGTGATGGCCATAATCCTCTCAAGGTTTGACAAACACTTAGAAATGGCACACTCGGTGATACAACAGTCACGTTTGAGCTGAAGCAGAGCTACAGCTGCATGTGGTAAGCAACTACCTGAGTAATAGCATTGACAGAAACCATAAGGAAACTTGCTTTAAAAAAAAAAACCCAACAGCTTATTTTATTTGCACAATAACTACACAATAAATAAAACAGCATTCAGCAAAACACGCTAAAAAGTAAAACCAACTCTTCATGGGGTCATCTGGTTACCTTCACAGAAACAACAGCTTCTGAACAGGTACTGAAAACATCATCAAGCATATGAAGAGGTGTACTATTCCCATCTCCCACTTTACAGTTATCCTTTGACAATGGCATACTATGGGAAAACTTTAAGTTATTTTGGATCGATTTCTTACCACTTCTTGCACCAAACTGATCAATTCCATGAGTCTTCTCCTAAGCTTTGCCACTTCTTCATTTACTTTTGTGACGTGCTGCTCATAGATTTCTGCCAGTGGCTTAAAAGTGTGTCCTCCGTGCTGTTAAAGAAAAAGAAGGTGGGTTGGGAAAGCAATAATAGAGCATCACATTTTAACTTAATTCCACTCCTATTAAATTACTGAAAGAGAAGGGAAAAATGCTCCTAGTGTATCACTCATGTTGGAAAAGTTCCAAAGCAGATTGTATGTAGGAAGCCTGTCTTTCACTTCCCTTCCTAAGTCATAAATTTGGCTTTCATGCCATCTAAGCTTCCTGTCAAGAGTTACTGGAGTCTTAACAGTCCTCCAAAAATAAACTGCTTCATTCACGGTGCAATTCTCTAACAAATCAAGTAACGATAGAAGGGCTGCCTTATTATGCTTTGGAAGGCATCCTTCCAAAACAAAGGCAGCACACTCTTAACCACTTATATTCCAAACAATGACAGCAATATCTCCTTGAAAGAGACAACTGAAAGGGTAATAAACAGCATGATGAATTGTGCTACCAATATAGCTTTGAAGATAGTCAAGATTACAGGCCAGGCCATTTAAATGTTATCTATATTCTCTGAGAAAGATTTCTTCCTTTGCCCATAAAATTCTCAGCACCATCTACAGTTTGTCCAAGACATGAAGTTCATAACAAAGAAGGTAATTCTGACCTCCTTTAGGCAAAAGTTCAGTTTGCTTCTTCGCTTATAAACAGAAGGCGCTGCCTTTCTCAACCAGTGCTCACATTACGTTATAAATACATACACAACTATAGTGTTTGCATGGCAATTCACCTGCTGAAACAGTTTCATAGCATTTCTACTCCTTCAAACTGCTGTCAAACAACGTTTGCAGTCTTACTGTAACATCCCACATGCACATAAGCAAGTCTCTTCTTACCATTCCTCCCCAAAGCGCACACTGGTGGCAGATACATTTCTTACAGGTCCAGCAGAAAACACTGAGCTTTTCATGATGATTTTCACACCTTAAACAAAAGGAAAAAGACACATATCATCAACAGAAAATAGCTATGAATTTACTGCAAACTCAATTTAACATTTTCACTTGTTTTGCTACCCAATACTGAGAGTAAAGCACAAAACGTCAGCATCGTTTTGCAAGAGTACTACTTACATTCAGTGAAAAGCTTTTGCAAAACAGATGTTCCTCATATTCTCTCAGGAAGACAGAGAGAAAGTACATCACTAACACTGGATTTCTACCCAGCGGATAGAGGATACCAATGAATTAAGCTCAGAATTCTAGAAGTTAATACTTCACGTTATTAAAATCCTAATCACACACAATCTAACATAACCACAGAGCGATGGCTCCTAAGCTTTTTGGACAAACTCATGAATTTCTTAAGATTTCAGGAAGAACATCAATCAACAGACTGAGCACGGGCCAGACCTCCCATACACGTGCCTCCCCTCTCCCTCCATTAGGATTCAGGAACTCAGGGAAAAGGCAGCAATAGAACACATAACAGTGCCTGTCTGTTTTTCAACACTGCTTCTCACACTCTTCTCCTCCAGATCTCCAGGCTATATGTTAAAACACAGCATAGCACTGGTAATGGGATAAAAGCAGGAGAAAAGCCTACTACGAAAGTACCGACAGTTGCTCCTAGGAAGAGAATATATTTGAAAATACAGGAGGCTCCAAAGACAAGGAAGGAGCACAAACAGCAGTAACCTGACAGATCTAGCAATAATAGTGCATTCTGTGGGACTTACATTTTTTTAATCTCAAACTGGGTTTTATCAATTACATCTTTGCAAAGGACCAGAAGACATCATCTCAGAAGAGCTTCTCTGCTTTTATGTGCTGATACAACAAAGCAGCACCCACAGTCTTAATGGGACTGCCATGTGAGCAAGCCACTGAGAGACTTGTTTCAGATATATGGTCATCAAGAAGGGCTAAAAACCTTAAGTAGTATTGCGGCCCTTCATGTTCCCCGTATCTCTCATTTTAACACTATTGGGTCAAACTAGAAATAGTTGTTCTCTAGACAAAGACACCAAAGAGCTTTTCTTGTCCCACTCAGTATGACAGACATGAACTCCAACTTGTAGTCAGACAGCGAGCACAATTCAGCTTTTAAGCAAGTTATCAGTTTGTTCCCTGATTTAATAATGAGCTGAAACTAAAAGCCCGCTCATGAAAGGCAAACCACACACTGCTTTCTGTGAAGAAAGCTTCATTTACTTGTCTTTTTCGTTTTCTTCATGCTTTGTGAGATTGCACAGTTGAAGCGTATCAAGCTGTTGCGTGACCTCTTCTGCCCACCGACAGTTCACGAGCTCTCGGAGCTGCAGCGGGGCTCTACAAGAAGCATTGCAAGAGTTAGAGCAAGAACTCAGCTCCAGCAGCTAAAAAGAGAAGCATCGAAGTGAATTCAGTTCACCAATTCTGCGCTATCAGAAAAGTCACAGGCAAAAAGCTGAAGCTGTACTAGTTATTTCAGAGGAAAAAGAAAATATGCTTTAAGTCAATTAACTCATTTTGGGGGCGGGAGGTCAACAAACTGCCCCACAATGACGCACAGATCAGCTACATGAGGAACTCAAGAACTATTCCCAGATTTCTTGACAGGCTCCTGGATAACACTGGGCAAATAATTTCATTTCTCAATGCTGCTTCAATGGTTCCCATTATTCAACCACCCCCAATGCAGCACTTCTTTCGTCCCCTTCGTAAAAATGTAGATACATTTACCTCCTTACAAGCATTTTAGAGCTATTGATCAAATACTTTAAAAACTAATATTTTTAAATACTTCTGCAGAAAAGGTTGGTTAGTTGTTTTTAAATACCTCCCTTCCCTTCAGGGAAAAAACATGCTACTTTCCAAATTCTGGTCTCTGAAGAACTAGGATTGCTAGGTACTCAAGAAGTAGAAATGCTATGGGGTGCCAGGGCTTGGGGGGACGGGGTGGGGCACGGCATTAAAAAACCAAAAACAAACCAAACAACACATTGTAGCTACCGCTTACACAAATCTGCAGCGTGTAAGGTAAGCCTTGCAAATTATAGGTATGAAGAAGTTCAGTCTGAAAACTGCAGCTCTGGTTAGACTGAGTACTATACCAGAGGAAGTTTTTTTATAGTAACACCAGGCAGGTCTCAAAAAAAAAAAAACAAACCAAAAAAACACACCAACCCACAATTCAAGCTTATAAATTTAGTACAAGCTGCACTGGGGGGGGGGGAAAGCAGCTCGTTACAGGACAGTACACCCGATTCCTGACAGCTTATTTCTGATATTAAAAATACCTTACCTACAATGAGGGCACTGAGCTCTTTGTTCAGTCAGCCAACGCTACGAAGGAAAAAGGAAACACTTTTTGAAAAAGACTGTAAGAGAAGAACCACAAGCAAGCATATTCTGTCGTTAATTAGCAGTTGTTTCTTTTAATTACAGCCTTCCTATATTTTTTCCTTTTTTTTCTTTACAGATCATAATTTAACTGTTCAACTACTTAGTGACAGAGGAAGCTGCTATTTCTATCTTAGTAGCAGAGCAACCACTTTTCTTTAGAGGTCAAAGACACTTCAGTTAGAATGCTGAGGTACCAAATAGCCCGTTAGAAGCCCCACACCAGGCGCAGGCTCAAGAGTACAGTTCAACAAAGGAAAGCAAAAGATACAGCAAATGTATTTCTAAGACTCTAAATCACTAGTCTTCAAGGCAACTTGTTTCTCTCTCCTCAGCTCTTTTACACACGGGATATCTACAGTTGACGATCAAATCCCTGAAGACCTTCTCAATGCTCCTCTTCCAGAAAGTTCTAAAGACAAGAAGCTGAGGAAAGGACTTTGTTTGCCCACTACAATTTACATGTGTGAAAGCTCAACAGTTGAAGGGCTGGTATTTGTCAGCTCACTGCTACCTTTAAAGATTCCCACTCAGCACCAATGTGTCACCTAACACCCTTAATACCTCACACAATTCACCTGTAGCTCCTGTCACAGCTTTCAAACCCAATGATGACTGTTCCAATTTCTGGAAATACTACCCCAGGTGTGAAAAACTTGGCTGAACCTTCTCCCCTTACACTGACACATAACAGCGTCTGGACCTGGAGCTGAAGTGGTTACACTGGTAACAGCAACCTTCATAAATGAACAGAGCGAGGTACTTCAACGCTGCTTCGGTCTGCTATGCCAGACTCCCTGGAGAAAGATTCACACCTTATCAGGTTGTATCATACTAGTTTGGTAAGTCCGCATTTTAAACATCTCCAGGATGAGAAGAGGTGATGTTATGACATTCCAGTGCACATACTGACACATGTAAAGCCAGCATTTAATTCCTGTCCCAACTTTTGTCTTCCATACAGACATCACTACTCTCAAGAGATGCTAAAGATGGGATCATTACTTGTCTGTTTCTTAAAAGCAATTATTCCGGATAGTCCCTATAATTAGCACTACTGAAGGCGATGCACAGCCTGCCAAGTTTTTCCTCAGGGTGTTGTAAAACATTTTGAAAGGGAAACTAAAGAGCACAGAGCAGGAAAAAGGAATCCTTGGAACTCCAGGAAAAAGGGCAATAAAGAAGTAAGAATATGTTCATAAGACCAGTAGGTTTTGCATTCATATATTTGCAAGAATAAACCATAATAAGCAAACTCACCCGAATACAGCTGAAACAGCACAGCTTGGAACAATGAGGACACAGACGTGCATCACGCAATTTCTCCATACAAATAAAACATCGGAATACTTCAGCAATGCTCTGCAAAGGGTAGATTATCGCTATTGTTAAGCCACATACTTCAAACATATCAGAGCTGCATTTATTTCCCAGGCAGAGAGCCAGGTTTCACAAATGCAGTCCCATTCCAAACAGCGACAGAGAGCACGTCTCAGAGCAAGACATGAAGTCCAACATCGTGCCTCTCCTCCCCACTTTCTCCCACGCTACTCTAGCTCTTAGCACCCGTTTTATAACACTCTTCTTCAAGGATTATTTTCTTGTTGGTTTATCTTTTTCCAAGAGGGCCTTTCTGCAGTCAAGATATCATTTCTGCTTACATTCACATGGGATTGAACAGCTGCCAGAAGAAACAGATTCAACAACCTGCAGATCCCGAATGCACTGGCACTACACTAAATCAAAAGCATGGTAAGTGCGTGTACGTATTACACACAATGCTAACGAGAGGGGTTGAATTGGATAGAGCTTTTTTTTTTTAACTTTAAAGTCTTACATTCTTTTAAGGCCTACCATTAGCACCAGCTTCACAATGTCTATGCTCCCTCACGCCCCACTGAACCTATCTCTCGGGCAATAAAAATGTAATTTAACGTGATTTTTTTACTACACCCACTTGAAGAGAGAAGCGTTTTGTTCTAGAATTCAATCACCTCATCTCTCTCCAGTTTTAAAATGAAAAGGGTATACTGAAGGCCAAGCAGTGTTTGCTTTCCTTACTGACAGCTTTCTCTGGAGCACAGGAGTTCTACCCCTTCTGACTAACTATGGACCTTTGGAAGAGCCTTCAAATGGACTATTCTTTTCCCCACAGAGCTAAAATTGTAAGTCAGCCCAACAAGTGATGCACATCTTCAATTTACAGATACCACAGTATCTCCCATGCGTTAGCATCTTCTTTAAGGGATGCAAACCATTAAAATGCAATACATGCACTCACAGGAGGTTCTTACACAAGGTCTTCTAAATTCCCCTCCTGCTTGGCCGCTGTTAACGAGCTGCAGCGCGTGCAACTGCCCGGCTTACCGCCAGACACCACCTTCGCGCATGCCAAGATGGGTGCTGCCAGCGCCAGCTCCCCATCCACCGCCACCTCCGGGGCTCGCAAGTCTAGTTTCTAACCCTGATTACGCACAATAACTGCGTGCCACCTGGGAACGCCACCTCAAACGCGCTGCTCCCTGCCCAGCTCCCCTGCGCGCACA